CACAGCCAGGAGTGACCAGGAACAATGGTCACAAGCTGGCAGAGGGTAGGTTTAGGTTAGACATCAGAAGGCGCTATTTCACAGTCAGGGCAGCTAGGATCTGGAACCAACTTCCAAGGGAGGTGGTGCAGGCTCCTACCCTGGGGGTTTTTAAGAAGAGGTTAGATGATCACTTTGCTGAGGTCGTTTAACCCCAGTACTCTTTCCTGCCATGGCAGGGGGTCGGACTAGATGATCTTCTCAGGTCCCTTCCGACCCTAGAAACTATGAAACTAAGGCACACTTAAGTTAATAAAAATGTTTTGCGGCACACCTGTTAAGGCATCCCCCATCCACATACTTATGAGCTCAATGTAGCTCATTGCCACAGCAAAATTCTCCTGTTCATTTCTGATGGCACACCACTGTGTTGCAGCCAACTGGTTGGGAAACATTGGACTGGAGTACTAGTTTTTGCTACATGGTTTTGTTTTTCCCATGCAGTTAGGAGTACAGTGCAGTAAAAATGTTTCTGTTGCTGCACATCTTTGGAGGTCAAGAAACAACATCACCTTTTGGTCTCTTCCAAACTTCTCCCTCTCTGATGATTTGGGTACTTCCCTCCTCTGACTTTTATGACCACAGCTGATCATAACATGCATTTCTTGGACTAGCCGGTTCTCAAGGACTGCCTGGAAATCACTAGGAAGCACTGCTTTGGAAGGAGACCAAAAGGGTTTTGACTGTTGGGAAGCAGACCCATGTTATAACTTCTTTCCTATATTGTGTCCCAGATGGCTGCTGATAACAAATTTCTTCACTTTGCCTGCCTGCCTGCATGGCCCCCTCTTCTCTCTGATGGAAACTCCAAAGATGGGAGAGAGCATGCACTGGTTAAGTGTGCTGGGGGAGAAAGTTGTCACAAAATACAGGCTGCATCTACACAAGCAGTGAACTGCACACTTGTTACTGCTCAGTCATTTAGTAGTTGCATAAGCAAGTACTAAATGACTGCGCTGTAACCAGCATTATGTGCAATACTGTCACTGCACATTTTTCTTTTTCAGATGCTACTGCCCAGTAATGTTGTGTCATGGTTAATACCCGCCAATGCTGCTGCACAGTAGCAACAATTTACTGCACAGTAGCAATGTGCAGTAGTGTCTTGTGTACATGCGCTCAGAGAGTAGAGCCCTACTGTGAAGCTGGCCAGCATATGAGTGGGAAGCAGGCAATGAGCTTAAGACTGCTTGGAAGTAGGGCAAGATCTTCTGTTTTGTCAGAGGGGACAGAAGAGACTAGGTGGAAAGAGTTTAATTTGAGAGCTAAACAAAAGACTCGACTTATTGCTGGAGAAAAAAGAAGTTGGGAGATGGGTAAACTGTACTTTCCCAACTATCATTCAAAACTGGGCTTCTGTGCGGCACAGTAAATCCAGATTGTTTATGAATGATGAAAAGTATTCATTTGCTATTAAATTTGGTAGTAATATTCTGTTTGCACTGGGTCCATCCTTCTAATGCTGTTCATGAGATTTTAAGCTCATCTCATAAGCCAGAAGAAAAGTTGAAGGCAGTTTGAGTGTTTACAGAAATGTGAAACTGGAGCATTATTAGATTTACTCATGCAAACAAAGTGAAATTTAGCTGTAATCTGTTGAAATAATTCTGCAGAATTAGTTACCCCTCTCTTTTTTTTCCCTCTTTTGTTCCAGTAGCATTCATTTTAGGGCTGGCCAGGCTGCCTGGTGGCAGCAATATGTGGCTGCCATATGATTCAGCACAATCTGAAAATATAGTGTTCTGTCCCTCCTCTCATGCTTACCTTCCTGTTGTCTGGCAGACTAGCATCAACACTGCATGGAGTGCCCCCAAGCCTTATGTAATAGGTGATGGTATATTCTGTTTGCGCATCCTGCTTAGTTATTCCTTGAGTGTGTATTAAGGGGAATTTGACCAGCCCTTGAGTCTCAGGGGAAGTCACTGCTCTGTAATGCTACTCTACAGAGCAGAAGAGTTTAAAACTGATTCTCAACCAGGGTACCCTGGGTGCCCTGAGATCCTTTCAGGGGTGCTGTTAGGTGTGCAAATGTGATTCACAAGATAAAGCCAAAGATTTCACAAAAGAATGCACAGCATTAAAACACTGTGACCTGCTGTGGTCTTTGAGTTTTTTATAACAGAAAAAATAATATATTATCTTTCTGTAGTCAGAAATTGAGAAACTAAGAGATGGCATTGTTTGAAGGGTTCCTTGAGTCCACTGAGGGGTGCTTTTGGTCTAAGAAGGCTGAAAACCATTGGTTTAAGAGTAGCTTAGTTGTGATGATTTGCAGTGGGATCTTTCATTTGTTGTGTGACCTTGCCTGCATTTCCAATATTATCTATTTGAAAGCAAAAATGTGTTAGGAACCCTAGTGTTGGTAAAATCATTTTTCTATGTGAACCACCCTCTAAATAAAAGGCAAGATTAACTTGTACACATCTAAATGTATCTTGAACCAAAAAGTGAAAATTTGAGAATTTGGGGGTTCTTTTACTTGTACGTGCAAAATGAAGATGAAAACAGTATTTAATGGGAAACTTTAAAGTTGTCGAGAATATAATTTCTCTTCGATATGATGTGATCCCGAGTCCCAAATATGAATATAAAGACTATTTTGCTTTAAGTTCCTTTAGAGAGATTGTTATATTTAACTGTCCAGTGTAAAGAACTCTGCCTGAGTGTACACAGAAATAATGGATAATGATGATCACCTCTGGCAAAATTTAAAGTGAACTTGGAGCAAGATCTTTTGGTTCTTATAAAATCATAGTGAAAGTCTGGGAAAGGGCAGGTGGGGCAATACATTCCTTTGCTTAAAGGAAGCTGTTTTATATTTGGTATAGCTTTCTCTTACCTGATTAGTGCAGTCAGCTATGACTGTTCTGAACAAGTTTATTGCTTTGATGGAAACACAAAATTAACCTCTGTAAAATTTGTTACAGCTTAATTGTAGCGGGCAGATTCCATCCAACTCCTTTGTTACTTTCATTATTGGAATTTGTTGCTCCATCAAGGCCTTTTGTTGTCTACTGCCAATATAAGGAGGTAAGTCAAGTATGTTTGTATAGTTATTATATAACAAATTTGAGATGAGATGGTAAACTTGTGGGTTTTGTTTTGTTTTTTTCAGCCATTATTAGAATGTTACACAAAACTCAGAGAAAAGGGTGGTGTTATTAACCTCAAGCTGTCTGAAACCTGGCTACGAAATTACCAGGTGAGAATCACAGGGTGGGTGAGAACAGTCTTTTTGCCACAAAAACACCTCTATTGCCTGAAACAATTCAGGAATTTAACACGCCTTTGCTTTCATGCTAAGGAATTGCACTCTTGCAAAATAAGTTTTCCTTAATGTTCTTTATTTAACAAGTCCACATAAAAAAATCAACTCCTTACGAAGAATGTTTTTGTTTCTTTATGAAGGTCTTGCCAGATCGGAGCCATCCAAAACTGACGATGAGTGGAGGTGGGGGGTACCTGCTGTCTGGTATTACTGTTGTCATGGATAAAGGCAAATCAGACGCTGGCAGGTTAGAAGCACAGAAGACTGAAGAGCCAACATCTAAAAAGCGCAAACTTGAGGAACTTCATTCTTAGCATCTAAAGAATTGATTTGTTTTTAGTTCTCAGAAGTATTGTAGTTAGTAACATAACTAATGTACATTCTGTGCTCTTGACAACGTGGAGAAAACATACCAACTGTATACCTGCCAACAGAAGCAAAAGACTTGTATTCTAGACGAAGGGTTTTTTTCCATTTCCTTTGTTAACACCGTGACAGGAAGAAGAAATATTTTAAAGGCCACCTTGTGCAGACAACACAATGAAGATTCAGTAACTTTGGAAATGCTTTCCAACAATCATGCTAAAAAAGAGGCCATGTGCTGAGACTAGATCAGTGAAACAATTTTATTTGGTAGCTGTAAGAATTGGATGAGATGCTGAAGTGTTTTCACAGAGATTGGGTTTGAATTAAGAAACTTTATTTAGCTTCCTTTTGCCTTGCAGCTACATCAGGTTAAAATAATCTGTATAGTAAATGAGTTCCCTTTTTACATATAGAACCCTGCCCCTTTTAAATGATTTTTTTTTAAAGAAGGAGAATGAAATGCAACAGGATCATGCACTTTTATTCCTAATGGGAAAATGAAAAAAGGTTGAAATGAAAATGACAAATTAAAACTGAATTTTTACATCTTGACCCTCTGTTCCTAAAAGCAAGAAAATGCAAAACTTCAGGTGTATGTATATAAGTGGGAATACCAAATGTTTAATTTAAGTGCCCTTGTTGGGTAGCGCATATTTCCCTTTTTTGAAGGCAGATTTATATTGTTTTTATTCTTTTGTTAACCTGTGACAGTTTTGAAAACGGCCATATTTATTTTGCTATTATGCTTCTTATGGTGTGTAGAGTTTTTGTTAGCTTGCAAAATGCTTTGTTTGCCACTTCAATTAAACTCCAAGAATTCTTTTCTAAAGAGGCAGGAATTCTTTATTGGTCGGGCAGTGAAATGACTTGAGAATGGGAATGGGTACTCTTGACAACATACACCCACCCACGTGGGCTGTCCGGATGCAGTAGTGTGGACCTCTAAGCACATGGGGGTTCCATTGGTGCTGATGGGTTTCTGCTTGGCCAGAACCCAGGGATGGAAGCTGTAGCTCCAGCATTTGCTTTTATGAAAGGACTGCATTAAAAGTGTTGTATACTGCTAGCTAGAAGGGTAATGCTTTTCAACATTAGCTCAGAGTAGTCTAAATGCACTGAAATAAAAGCCTTATTTATTTTGCTTGAGTGAGCAATAGATTGAGCTTCAGATTTTGTCTCCAAGCTCGTCTTCTTTTTGTAAGATTTTAGTCATTTTCTTATTTTTACTCTCTGCGAAAGTCTTGCAGACTGGGAGAAATGAACTTTCTTGGTGTAGTCAGTTCTGACAAGTCCTTTCTGAAGAGCTAGGTTAGATTTCCCCCCCACTTTCCCTCCCCTCCCCCATGACCCAACACATACATTATATCAGGCTTTTTAGTCATTTTAGGTACACTTAAACACAGGGGAAACTGATCTCATTTAAAAGGATGAGATTTGCTGAATTTACATCTGACATTTTTCAGGATTTTTTTTTTCTTTTTTTTGGATGGGGGTGCTGAGGAGAGAAAGGAACTCCTTTTATTTCATGCATATTTTGAATAAAGATGGGGTGGAATTTTTTAAAGCTGCCCAAAGTACATGCATCTATCTGTCTGTCTGTCAGCAGCTTGACCTACAGTGATAGATACGGGGCTGGAAGTTAGGGTTTCTTGACTTATTCCAACTACTGTTATTTTTATGCTTTTTGACATGTAAAAAGTCAAATCTCTGTGTGCCATAGTTCTTATTTACCTGCAAAGTAAAGGTACCTGCCATTGAGACCGTGAGATATTTAAATAATTGCCTTTTTACAGCAATGAAGATATAAAGATCTAGATAAGGGGCATACCATCAAAGTTGCATTTGTTTTCTTATCATGGATTACTTATGTTTGAAACAGGAGACACGGGGCTTCATGCCGATTGTCATGCAGCTAATCTGAGAAAAATGCTCTTTGACGCATTGATTTTACAGTCTGAGAAAATTAGCTTTGGAAAAAACACTAAAATGATGTACATAAACATGGAGGAGGTAGCTTGTTTAAAATCAAATGCCTCATTCAGTCAATCTTGTGATTCGTTATCTGTAAATCTGTTTTTGTATTGATCCTTTTACTGACCTAAGCCACCTCATTTTAAAGGGTGCAGTAACATTTGCCCCCCCCCACCCCAAGCGGTAATGTTATTTGTTGCAGGAATGTGACAAATCCATTTAATGTAAGCAACTTAATAGTACGCAAGTCATGTACCACTTCTCAGACCAACAATTTAATGCATATAGTGATGAAACAGTGTATACCAAATGTGTGACTAGCTGAAGAGCATTTGGCCAGTGTTGCATAGCCAACACAATATTAAGCCATTAAAGAGATTTTTAAAGACAACCAGAAGAGGAAAGCTTTACGGAAATGTAAATTACAATTTTGATGCCTAATGCAAGTTTTTGAAAACCTTATTTTGAACCTTTATATTATAACAGATATTTCTTATTTTAAGGGAAGTTTTATTTCTCTATCCAGGGGTCCAATAGATACTCAAAATCAAGATGGTAAAGTGAAAGAAACTCTATTCCCCCCACTAGTCAAACAACAAAAAAGAAAAAGGTGGCTAACTTTAGCACAGCCCCTGGAGTAGAAACAAAGCTATACCCAGACAGTGAGTGCAGAACATAAGAACTGTAGTATCCACATCCGACAATACATTAACGTTTTATTTGTGGCCAAATGAACACTGATGTGTGAATCAAATATAGAAAAGGTCCAAGTAATGATGTCATGAGAAATTGCTCTGTACATTCCGTGTTTATAGTATGGGCACAGCAAAAGTTGCCATTTCTGAGGCAAAAAAAGAATGGCCACGTTGTGCTAGTCTTCCTCTAGACCTGGTTCAGCCACTCACTCACCTATACATACACTTGCATGCCTTACAAAAATCTTTGTTTTACAGCTTTATTACTAATGAGATCCACAATAGTTAAGATGGCCAACGAACTAGTCTTCCAGCATTCATAATTTAGGGATATATTCCAAGCCTGTTGTTTGCTAGGACATAATTTTATTTATTTATTTTTGACACTTGCTATAACATTGTGGGGAGAGGTTGTGTTTTCCATGCTTGTGAGCAGATAATTGACTTTTCAAAGGGGTGGTAAAGCTATCTTAGAACAGCACTGGCTTTGTGTCTTGCTTGAAAAAAGACTATTGCTCAGCTGCTAATTATGACTTGCTGAAAACTGTCCTTGGCCTGTGCCAAATAAAGTGGCCTTTCAGTTTCATTCAGAAGGTTCTGAGGCTGGTGGTCACTCTGATCTCTTGGAAATGACTTAACCACATAAAATTCCTGTTATTTGCACCTGGGATGAATCTCAGCCAACATGCACTTATTCACACATTATTCAGGTCCCTCTGAATGCTCAAGTCAGCCAGCTGTATTGGCCTGAGGAAACAGTAACTTCCTGAAGTCACAGAACCCTTTCATATCACTACTGCTGCAGAACCCCCTACCCAAATGCATGGAGCCTGGCAATGGTGACACACCACCGCCTGGCCCACTCTGCCATTACCCCCAGTCTCATTGTGGAACCCCTGATGACCTATCATGGACCACCAGGGTTCTGCTAAACAGTCTGAAAAACACTGATGTAGACCTAGCTGTCCTTAACATACTAGAAACATCACAGCTCTCATTACCTATTGCCTACAGGCACTGGGTTGGCAGAATCAAACAGGAGTGCACTCTGCATGAGAAGGAAGGCCTGGGCACGCTAACCCTAACCTCAAGAAGAAACAAATGGAGCTGTTTGAGAGCCATTGAATTTATTCCTACTCAGGTTCTGACAAAAACCTTCAGGTCAATAGTACCAGAGACTGCTTGCTGATAAATCTGAAAGAATCAGCATGGTCTCTGAGCAGGAGAGTTTTTTGTTGTCTGCTGTTACAAAAGTGCAGCACCAAGTAGAAACATCGTTATTCCTGACAGCTTGGATTTCAATGGCAACTGCACATCAGCTACTTCAAAAAAAGCATCAGGATGTAGAAAGGTGGCTGCTGCCTGGTGTTCTGAGAATGTAGCAAACTTCTAGAAAGCTTTCAGCACCAGTGAAAGACAATCATCTGAAGTGCCTTGTACAATTCTTGTGATGTTTTCAGTGTTGTCAATTTGCCATATTTGTGGCTTGTTTTGTTTTTTTCTTTCAAGACCAAGCTGCTGGAATTATTATCTGGTCATCTTAGCTTTCACTTAGAAAAAGAGTAAAAATTTTCCAGGTCTTATCTTTATAGAATAAAACTTGAAAATATTAACTTAAATATTCCAACGTCACATGGCAAATACAAACATCAAAGTTTCCAAAGGCTTAACTAAATGGACTGCAACAGTTGTCAACTTCAGCAAACCACCACGGATTGACAGCTGTTTCAGCTGGAAACTCATCTGTCCAACCAGACGAGGAATTCCGACAGAATTTCCAGAAGATGCTTAAGGTGTCACAAACTTTAAAAAGTGAAACGAAGTGAAGAATTTCTGCTTGCTCCCCTTCCCCTCCCTTGCTCTATGTTCCAACAAGAAATGTTAGGGACTGTTTTGCTGTCTCTCACGCTACAGTACTTTAGCCTTTGAAATAACAAGAGATCAATAATCATCAAGCCTGCATTTCCCTGATCCTCTTAGCAGTTTATACGTCAAGCTTGCACTTAAACAGAGAGTGCCTAAATAGAGATCAATATTTTGCAAGCTAAATAGTATTTGTATACCACTTAGTCTCATTGAATGTGATTGTACATTTTGATAACCTCAATAAATTATACTTGGTCAAGACCAGAATATCCTCTGCTGTGGGAATCAAATACAAAAGCAGGCAATTGTTCACAAAAAGTTCACTTCTGTTAGTTTTCTGTGTCATCCATCCACCAGGCAATAGCAGATAAATAGGCAATGAACAGGCGATGCAATTGTGTTCCTGGGATAAAACTAGAATAGGCAGCGTGTGCATTCAATATTGCTGGCCTATTATATTGCTAGGTTTGTCAGCCTGTGGAATAACAGAAGCAGAAGAATCTGGCTGACAAATAGCAGAACTACCACAAGAGTTGGTCTCAGAGCCCCAACAAGCTGTTCCAACAGAGATGGCTCAGCTTTTCCAGAGGCATCTACCTGGAACCTTCAACAGTGTTTGTCTAAAGTCAAAGCTTTGTCTGGGATGACTTAGGTAGGGGGAGAGGTGATCCTGCCTTGAGCACTGATGATCCCTAGAGGTTCTGTTCCAGCCCTATTTTTTATGATTCTATGGACCAGGAGTGTCAAAGATACAGCCCACTGACCAGATCCAGCCTGCAGAGCCCTATCCTCTGGGGGCTCATGTTGGATTTATGTGCTACTGTGGCTGCACAGGGAGCATAGCGCTGGTTTGGTGAGTGTAGTGGGCTGCACCCCAGGCCACACTTCAGGCTGGGCTAGGCTGGGGCATGCATGCTGCAAGCTGTGCTCTGGGCCACTGCACGTGTCACCTGTGGCCCGAGACAGGGCTAGTTTGTGGTCCCATTCTGGCCCAGGACCAGCCCCATAGCACCAGATGGTTTGATGCCCCTGCTATATACATATACGTTGCTGAAAACTTTATTATATTTATTATATTTATTATAAATCAAATGACAAAGTTTGAGCTAAAACATCATCAGGCTTGCTGAATTCTTGGTGTTGTAGTTTCATGCTTCAATATATGATGATGTAGATGAAAAATGTAAGTATGAATATTTAAAGCATGTTATTTTAAAACAAAATTTCACTGAATTTTAACTGTTGTGTTATAGTCATCTTAGCTGTTCATATTCAGCGCTAGACAAAGGCAACCTAGAACCTGATATTAGAACACTAGAAAAGTGGATTTGTCACATTCCTGGCAGCTTCTGAAATTTACTACTTGCTCATAACCCTTGCTTTTAAAGATGTTTTTTCCTTTTGTAATAACAGGAGGGACAAAAACAGCATGTTGTGTTACCGTTACTGTACTGTGCTACACATCTTAAAAGAAAGAGATTTGGAAGAAGTAGGCAAGCCAGGTATTTATTGTTGGGATATTTACATTCTAGAACCATGCTCCAGCCTCTGTTAAGTTTTTGACAGCTATCCCAGTGAACTTCTGCCCTCCTTTGAAACTGGTGACAAACCTGCTTTTGATTTAAGTGGAGCCAAAACTTCTATCTCCCTTCCCAAGATCTTTTACGGGACATACTCAAACCTTTAAATGTTTGTATTAAATTGAAGGGGATTAGTATATGCCTAGATGTTTGGAGGTTCAGACCCTTACTAGGTACTTCTCTTTTGAACTATTTTGCAATTTTGGATTTAAGATTAAATGTTTTAACAAGCAGATGGCTACTTTGATTAACATAGAAGAATAACAGATGCCTCATATTTATCAATAATATAACATAAATAGAAGCACATTCAAATGTTAGTAGAGCATCCCTCATCTTGGCATTACACTGAAAAAAGAGATGCCAATTCAATAGAATCCTTTTCTTCTCCTAACATTTGGTTTAACCTAGATCCAAGATTCCCATAGTAGTTAGAACTATTTATGGGAGAATTCTGTATGCTGCTTCGTGTCACATGATTCACAAACAGCTGGTTTTAGCAACCTCCTCATTGTTCTGAGCAAGTAATCTCTGTTGAACAAAGCCAAACTCAGCATCAGCACCTGATTCACAGGGGAACCTGCATCTAAAACTTCTGATTTTGTGGAGCCCTTTTTAACCATAGTCTGGTCTCTACAGGATTAACAGAGCACTGTAGTAAGGGGCTGGCACTGTGGAGCAGGCTATGTAAAAACAACATAGTTGGTGAGGGAGCTGCTCACCAACATACGTAACAGGACCACCAAGTGAGGTGGGTCCTCAGTTCAAAGAAGTGTGGGTATACTCCAGTCCTACATTTACAATCTAATGCAGAACAGACCAGTTACAAAGCATTGTGTATTTCCAAAATTACTGACCAAAATACAGCTAGTGATGCAGTATGCTTATCTTTTTAATGTATGTTCAGCTCCTTGCTAATTTTACACCACAGTAATTCACAATGGATTTCTGAGTTAACTGATTCAACTTATAGAGCTCCTGGCATACTTTTGCATGCACTTGCTATCTTGAAACTAAAGAAAAAGACACACTGTTCTATACTAACCTTTAAAAAAATATCCATAACTTACATTTCAGTGTTGTGTATAGATCTATTTGTCTGATCTGGGTTATTTGAAAGTAACCACAGAATTGTGAAACCAAAACACATCAGGCAAGGAGAAGGATTTGGTCCTAGATCAATGTTTTTATTATTTCAAACTCTCAGACAAATATTTCTGAAGAACACTGACACAAATATTTGCACAAGCATATTAAAAATATCTGCTTTGCATGTAAGGTTATATGTTAGAATTCATGCTATTCAAATCTCAATAGCATAATGGCAAATTAAAAACATTTCCAGCAGTATAAATCACTACACTTGAGTGGACAGTAAACTGCATTTCCTGTTTTTTTAGGACAAATGACACTTCAGTGGCAATGAATTTGCCAAGCTATATAGGTACTGAGTGAGCAAAGCTACACCTAGCTTTGAAATGCCACACCACTCACAAACAATCTTCATCCTCTCCTGTTGTCATTGAACTTCTCTGCAATCTTCTGCAGTTCCAAATCCATGGCAGCCAAATTTTCCAGTTCCTTTTCCTGTGAAGTATCAATACCAAGATAAATTTAGAATGGGGTATTTCATATCATTCATCATCATATGAAACTCTAATTATAGGATGTCACTTAACACTGTTTATCCTACTTATTTGTGAGGATGTCTACACATGCATTTGATCTCAGAGCAGTTTACTTGCGAGGAAACTACTCACAAGTAAACGTGCCTGGGCAGGCATCTATATATGCGGGGATCTGGAAAAGATTTGCTGCTCATGGCAGCAATCTGCTTCTGCCCCACCTGGCCCTGCACTGGCCCCCTGCAGCAGCCAGTGTGTGCATGTGTAGACATGCATGCTTACTGCACAGTAAACTGCTCTATTGCACAGTAAAGCATCTTGTGTAGATGCACCCTCTGGGGCCTGAATTTTTCCTGAGTGAAGAATTCCAAATAGGGTCCATGGGGCAGAGAATTTTGTATTGGACTAAGGAGACATTTAACCTAGCAGTGACTTTATGGGCATTTTTACACACCTGCTATGTGTTTTAGTTCAAAAGCGTGCCACCATTTTCTCATCACTGACACGCATTTCACCCCTTATACAACTGCAAGCGTCACAGGGCCAGGCACTTTTACGTGTAAAAATGCCCATAAAGTCACTGCTAGGTTAAATGTCTCCTTAATAGAAGGTGCTTTAATTCAAAAGCACATAGAAGGTGCTTTAGTTCAAAAGCACACTGCCACCATTTTCTGTGCACTAATGCACATTTTGCCGCTTATATAACTGCACACAGCGCAGCACAGCTCATGTGCAGAGCAGACTCGATGAACTGAGTCGGCTCTAAAGCAGCAGATCTCCAGTGCATCACGGAACAAAAAAGTATGTGTATAAATGCCCTATATTTCTAGTGGGGTTGGAGTGTTGTTATAGCCATAATAGCCCAGGAAATAATCGAGAAGCAAGGATTTTTTTTCTGGTACCTTACTGGATCAACTGTATACTTGGGAAAACTGTTGGACAAGCTTTTGAGCATCAAATGTCCTCCCTCAGGTCACCTGAACAAGGGTACTTGGTGCCCAAAAGCTTGTCCAATGGCTCTCTCCTCTTCATGTTTTTATGAATATTATATGACTTCTTAAATATCTGTGAAGTAATTTTGTAGTTGGGTGCCCAGGCCCTGGCAGGCGGCTAAGTATGATTGGGGAGGGGTTTAATGTATGACTGGGGAGGGATCCCAGCCCAGGTGTGCCTAGAGGGGGAGGGAGGAAGCAGCCCCTGCTAAGTTTGTCCCCAAGAGGGGTGGGGAGCATGGCACTGGCAGAGGCAGTGCCTTGGGCAAAGGTGGGGCAGGGAGGGGGATTAAACACCCCTGTTTTCCCTCTCATGCACGGGCATGGGGCCCTCAGCCCGCACAGCCAGTCCAGCTGCCAGGGCACCCACC